TTTTTACCAAATCCCTTCTGAAAGTGACGGAAATGTTCCTCCCTTTCATGCATGGTGGATTTTCCCCCCAAACACTAGAGTTAAACTTTGCAGACTTATCTTCTCCCAAAAAGCTAGTTTGTCATCTTATCACCTTTATTAATCCTTTATCATACCGTTATATCAATGCATCCCAACAACATTATTGTTAATTACTTCCTTCACTGTTAATACCATGAAAGCATGGATGGATGTTAACCTCTTACACCCTAAGGGGGTATAAATAAATTTCTGCCTGACAAAAAGTAAATCACTTATAGCCTCACAGCTATTAGATTTAAGAAGAAACTTTTGGTACGTCTGTAAAGGTAAGATGTCATAGAATGGTTTTCTGGTGTCAGCACCATTGTAGCTTTGACCCTGCCTGAAATATTAGGGACAAAATACTAAATATTTTGCTTTTTTTGAACCTCGCCAAACTTTTCTTTGAAATAAACATTGCAAAACACTACTAAAATATTATTTATAGCACAAAAAAGTAGTACAGACTTTTAAATCTAAATGTTGTGTAAAAATATACCAAATTTGGACTCAATCAGATGAATCATATTTATTTTAGAATGGTATTAGTGAGAAATTTCTTAGGCGGAGGGGCCATTTTGGCACATTTATCCAAAAATGTCACCAAACTGTGCCAAATGTGTTTTTTACATCAATACTGGGGGTTTGTTAAAATTACGAGGTCACGTAGCAGCTGGACCCACCGGTGGGTCTGTAGGGTTCTAAGGGTTAATAATGAAGCAAGCATTAAATCTAGTGGCTGTTCAGCGATAGAAACCAAACTTCTGGGTGTCTAAAGATGAGAGGATAGCAGCAGCAGCATGACCCACTTTCATCAGTATGACTGCATCATGATTGGCTGGCTTGTTTTGGGTTGGTTCTGGGACAGTCAGAGCCGGTGTTCTGTCAGACCAGCTTACCTATAGTCAATACGAATGAGTAAGACGTCAGATTTGCGTTTATCGCTGTAGTTTTGTACGAAAAATAGACTTTAAACTACCTCGACGGGCATGATTCCCTTTATTCATGTACAAAAAAAAAGGAACAATTTAGGGTCAGATTGTCATATTCTTTAAAAAGCACCAAAAAGTAAATAATTAAATAGTTATTTTTTACATGACTAAAGGGATTCATGCCCGTTGAGGTAGTTTAAAGTGTATATTTCGTACAAAACTAAAGGGATGAATGGGGATAAACTAAAGGGATAAACTGTTATTGACTATGGATATGCTGGTCTGACCGGGTATGCTCATCAGCCATCAGTAGATCTGATCTGGCTAGTTTGTTCTCAAGTTGGATGATTTTCTTTTATATAGGTCCAAACATTAAATCAGGTTCTAATGAGCAGCAGGAAGGATTCATCCTTAGTTTGATCAGTTTATATTTATGTGAATCTTAAGAAAAGCTTGACTTCTATTCAGTTTCATAAACTATTGTTTGAATTAAACTGGTTTGCTTCAAATTGATCGAAACATAAACGTCCACATTTTAAGAGACGTCCCCCCCCCCATCTGGAGCTCTGTAAGACCATCCTGCTGCTCCACTGATCCCGGGTCAGAACCCCTCTGACGGCAGCATGACTCCACTCAGATGGCATCTCTGACCCCCCCCCTCTCTCAATGCTCCCTCTGTCTGTCCCCGTTTGGATGAGGGACATGGGTGGGACTGAGAAGGACACCGTCCTAGGTTTGGTCCTATCAGATGGGCTCAGTGGTTCTGAACTGACCCAGTTCGGTACTGTCCCATTGCGAGACTTGGAGCCATGAACGCTGGATTCATCTTTTGGATGTGGAGGTTCTGACCTCGGCGGTCGCTCTTACTCAGGCTGGACAGGATGTGGGTTCGTCCTGCAGGCTTTCGTTCTGCTTTCTGACTCCCGAGGTTCTGGACTGGTTACAATGGAGCGAGCGGGCCTGGGTGAGCAGTGACTGGAGGTATTGGTTCAAAACAGAACCAAAACATGTTCCTCAGCTTGTTGTAAACCTGGATCTCAGTTCCAGCCTCTTTGGTTAAATCCTGTCTACCTGGAATAAGGAAACCATCTGGAGAAAAGTTGGATTTTATTTCTGTTCCAGAGAAACCTGAGATTATGCTGGATTACACAGCCCTGGATGAGACCTGCTGTTTACCAACATGGAGTAGAACTGCCTGAACTTTCTGGTATTGGGGCTTAAACTGCAAAGGAATCTGCAGAACCTGCTGCAGCCTGCTTTCATTTGAAAAGAAAACACATTTTTCTCCTGAGAGGTTATAAAAAAGATACTTGCAGGTATTGTTTACAACATTCCCTAATTATTTTGATTTTTGTGCGATAGCAGCTCCCAGTTTTTTTTTAACCTTTTTTGCACTTCTGGTCTTTAGGAATCCAAATATCTGACAAATCTGACAAAAACAAATCAGATTTAAATGAGCCACTCTGTTCATTCAGGTGGAATTCCAGACCTTTATACTTACTGACAAAAGTAACAGAGAGCAGATCTCCTTTAGTTTATTAACCAGCAGCCAAGTTTGGATGCCCTTAGAGCAGATGATCAGTTCTTTAATCTGCTGACCAGCAGTGTGCAGCTAACTTGTACAGTAGGAGCTGTTAACCTTGCTACAGCTGAGTAGGACTTCACTAACAGGACTTTAAAGGTTTCTGTTTTGCCCTTTTCTCCTCTTGAACCCAGCACAGAGGATGCTCACATCAGCACGGAGAGTCCATGGATCATTTTCAGGATGTCATTGTTGTTTTTAGGCTGCAGAAACCCAGATCTCACTTTCTCTATGCAGAGACTCTGAGGTGATATTCTCCTGCAGGGCAGATCTAAATCAGAGCGCATCTGGTCAGACTGAATCAGATTTCTGGTTGTGTTGGATGCTAATGTGCTGGGATGCTACATGGTTGATGCAGTACCTGCAGCGCTCCTGCTAACCTGTAAGCTCTCTGTCTGTATGCAGCAGTGATGAAGTGAACAGGCACTGAGGTGAGAGCTCAGAAAGCTGAGGAACAGGAAGGGGCTGGATTCTGAAGCCACTTTTCTGGTTTCTTTACTGTTCATTTAAAGCAGATGTTTTTTGTTCTGGTGACGTTGTCCTCTGCATTTAACCTAGTGCTCTGGTTCTTAGTATAGCGGCAGCATGTGGGGGGGGGGGTAGCAGCCCTCTCAGGACAGAGGCTCCCTGCTCCAACCAAGCCACCACTCCTTTATACTATTCTTATAAATTCTATAGTTATATTTTATACTGGAGCCTTATTTTTATTTTTATAATGCCCAACATCAACACTTATTCTCCCAATTTAGATTATTATTATAACAGTTTAAAACCAGGTTCAGTCTAGAGGTGAGTGGTGGAATAGATTCAGTATCTGGAGGTTAGATTTAGTAGAATATTTCTGAGTTACTCCCAGCCGTTCGTTTGGTACGACCCGAACTTTTCCACGTTGTCTCATTTCCAGCAGACTTCAACGTTTTTTGATGTCTGCCTGGATTTCTTTATTTTGTTATACTGGTATCAGCCGATATGTGCAACATTCAGCAGTGCTCATTTATTGAAGCTCCCTCCGTTCTCCTTATCAGCAGCACACATCTGACCAGTCAAAATAATCGGTATCTGTACTAAAACAGGCTTCAGTCCATCCCTACTTGGAATATATCAGCCAACACTTGTTGCCTCTAAGCCGCTATGTTCATCATGACCTGCAGTGATTTTGATGACTGTAAATGATACATTTAGTTTTCATATGGATTTAACTCTATGGATGAAATTCAGCTCAACCTTTTGCCCTCAGAGGTGATCTAATTGGTCCACCTGTGTTCATTCAGAAACCCGATTGTTCTTTGGTCCTCTGAGCTTCCTTAGAAAACATCAGTGAACATCGAGGAGCTCCCCCCTAATGGGTCAGACTCTGAAGCAGAGCTTCATAATAGAACTAAGTGAGAAGAAGTGGAAGCTGGATGGTTTGTCTTCTGCAGGGACACAGAAGCTGAGTTCCAATTAGAGGCATAGGTTAGCATGTCCTTGTCAAAGTCCAGCCCTACTCTAAAGTCTGTGGCTGAAAGCTGCGGTTCAGGGGCTCTCCTGCTCTGCTGCTGTGTTCTGTTTTCCAAAACGTTGTAGAAACATCTCAGAAGTTCAATGACACTGAAGCGGTCAGACAGCCTACCGCCTGGGTTCCACTAGAACTGGGCCCGGCTGAGCCTTTCTGACCCACTTAGCATGCCGCACACATCTCACTCCACCTTCACGTTGAACACAGAGGTTTCACCTGTTGGTACCTTCAGCTCACATCTACTTTAGTAGCCCAGAACTGTATCTCATGTGTTTTAAATGTTTCTTGAATTGCAGGGTTTGGCGTTTCTGTTGCTTACATATTACAGACCTTAAGCTCTGGCTGTTGGTGCTTGTTGGACTAAAAGTTATAATTTTAACGTCAGCAGAACCAGTGCCAAACATTTGTTCTGTAATTCTAGCAGCTGAGGCCAAATGAACGAGAAACAAAGAGTGTGGGTTGTTTACCACCAGAGATTCTTCAGGTGTGGAAATCAGGTTCCTGCTGAAGTCTGTCAGTGGTTTTGGTTTTCACAGCCTCACCATAAGTTAACCCTAACCCCATAGCCCTACCCCTAGCTCTCCCCGTCTCCCTTTCAGCTGCTTTCCTCTACCCAAATCGAAACTTTAGTGAACTGTTTTTTATTTTTGCAGAGACAGCAAAATGCCTGTGAAAGGAAACGGACAATTGCTTGTTTCTCTTTATAGATTTGGTCGTTCACTAAAGTCACAGTGTGAGAGCAAACTATGTGGCTTTTGTTCTGGCTAACCCAGACGCATAGTTCTGGTTTCAGGCTTGTTCCCTCTGGGTCTGGCTGTTCTTTAGTGAGGGCATCGCAGCCAGTGGAAAGGGCCCAAAATGAGGCGTTTTGGGGTAATGTTGGAACATGCATCTAACCTTTGACCTCCTTTCTGTTCCCACCCTGCAGGCATGGAAGAAGCGCTGGTTTGTTCTCCGAAGCGGCCGAATGACAGGCGACCCGGATGTTCTGGAGTACTACAAGAATGACAGCACCAAGAAGCCCATTCGAGTGATTGATCTGAACTTATGTCAACAAGTATGTTTGGTTTCTCTCCAACCTACTGAACTCTAATCCAGTTGACACTTTACTACAATTCTGAGCCGCTTTTAGTCCAGAAAAACAAAGACAGTAAGGTCTGATCCAGAGTTCTATCTGATAAAACATTTGATCAGATTTTTAATGTTTGAAACTGTTTTCCAAAAGCCGCAGGTAGCTTCTGTGTGACGAGTATGGAGAGAAATCTGTTCCAATATTATTCAAAGCAAAAAAAAAAAAAAAACCTTCAAAAAAGGAAAAAATACAAAACTTTTGTTTAAAAAAAGGAACTTTAAAGGCTTCCTTCAACAAAGAAGAACTCTATAAATTGATAGCACATTAAAAAGGGTTGTGAGAGGAATTTCTAATCTGTATCCAAATGTTTTCACAATATTTTTATTGTTTGCTTTTTCATATTTAATTTTTTTTCTTTTTCCCCAAATGTTTTTAGTTTTTTTAAACCTTTTATTAGATTTTACTTTTAAGTTTTGCATTAGATTTAGTCTTTAAAAAAAATAAAATCATAGTTTTACAAATTTCCTTCCTTTTAAATCCTGTTTTCAAAATCTGACCCTCGACCTTCCTGGGTGGTCAGAGCGCGGACCAATAGAAAAGCTGCTTTGTGTTCATCCACTTAGATCAGACTCAGTTCTATTGGTCAGCTCAGAGTGGACTTGTTTCTATTGGTCAGCTCAGAGTGGACTTGTTTCTATTGGTTCGCTCATAGCAGACTCGTTTCTATTGGTTCGCTCATAGCAGACTCGTTTCTATTGGTTCGCTCATAGCAGACTCGTTTCTATTGGTTCGCTCATAGCAGACTCGTTTGTATTGGTTTGCTCAGAGCAGACTCGTTTCTATTGGTTCGCTCATAGCAGACTCGTTTCTATTGGTTTGCTCAGAGCAGACTCGTTTCTATTGGTTCGCTCATAGCAGACTCGTTTCTATTGGTTCGCTCATAGCAGACTCGTTTCTATTGGTTCGCTCAGAGCAGACTCGTTTCTATTGGTTCGCTCATGGCAGACTTGTTACTGTTGGTTCGCTCATAGCAGACTTGTTTCTATTGGTTCGCTCAGAGCAGAATCGTTTCTATTGGTTCGCTCATAGCAGACTCGTTTCTATTGGTTTGCTCATAGCAGACTCGTTACTATTGGTTCGCTCAGAGCAGACTCGCTACTATTGGTTCGCTCATAGCAGACTCGTTTCTACTGGTTCCCTCATAGCAGACTCGTTTCTATTGGTTCGCTCATAGCAGACTCGTTTCTATTGGTTCGCTCATAGCAGACTCGTTTCTATTGGTTCGCTCAGAGCAGACTTGCTACTATTGGTTCGCTCATAGCAGACTCGTTTGTATTGGTTTGCTCAGAGCAGACTCGTTTCTATTGGTTTGCTCATAGCAGACTCGTTTCTATTGGTTCGCTCAGAGCAGACTCGCTACTATTGGTTCGCTCATAGCAGACTCGTTTGTATTGGTTTGCTCAGAGCAGACTCGTTTCTATTGGTTTGCTCATAGCAGACTCGTTTGTATTGGTTCGCTCATAGCAGACTCGTTTCTATTGGTTCGCTCATAGCAGACTCGTTTCTATTGGTTCGCTCATAGCGGACTCGTTTCTATTGGTTCGCTCATAGCAGACTCGTTTCTATTGGTTCGCTCAGAGCAGACTCGTTTCTATTGGTTCGCTCACAGCGAACTCGTTTCTATTGGTTCGCTCAGAGCAGACTCGTTTCTATTGGTTCGCTCACAGCGAACTCGTTTCTATTGGTTCGCTCACAGCGAACTCGTTTCTATTGGTTCGCTCACAGCGAACTCGTTTCTATTGGTTCGCTCACAGCGGACTCGTTTCTATTGGTTCGCTCACAGCGGACTCGTTTCTATTGGTTCGCTCATAGCGGACTCGTTTCTATTGGTTCGCTCAGAGCAGACTCGTTTCTATTGGTTCGCTCATAGCAGACTCGTTTCTATTGGTTCGCTCATAGCAGACTCGTTTCTATTGGTTCGCTCATAGCAGACTCGTTTCTATTGGTTCGCTCATAGCAGACTCGTTTCTATTGGTTCGCTCAGAGCGGACTCGTTTCTATTGGTTCGCTCAGAGCGGACTCGTTTCTATTGGTTCGCTCATAGCGGACTCGTTTCTATTGGTTCGCTCATAGCGGACTCGTTTCTATTGGTTCGCTCATAGCAGACTCGTTTCTATTGGTTCGCTCATAGCAGACTCGTTTCTATTGGTTCGCTCATAGCAGACTCGTTTCTATTGGTTCGCTCATAGCAGACTCGTTTCTATTGGTTCGCTCATAGCAGACTCGTTTCTATTGGTTCGCTCACAGCGAACTCGTTTCTATTGGTTCGCTCACAGCGAACTCGTTTCTATTGGTTCACTCACAGCGAACTCGTTTCTATTGGTTCGCTCACAGCGAACTCGTTTCTATTGGTTCGCTCACAGCGAACTCGTTTCTATCGGTCCTTTAAAGATCTTCTTAAATACAATCTGCTGCGTTCAGCTTAGCTCCCCTAATCGCAGTTTCCAGCTCCTCAACAAGCTGTTGCTTTTCCAGCAACATTCTTTCTCCGCTTTCTTCACGCAGCAATCTTTTTCTCATTCCATTTCTGGCTTCGGTCGGCTCCCGGCCAACCACAACGGGACATTTGGCCATGTGATCAGGGGCGCCCATTTAGTATTTAAAATTTACTATGATAAAGCAGCAGCTCAGACTAGAGCTGTAGAGCTCAGCTTCCTGTCTGTGGTGGACATTGTTGCTCACCAGCTGTGGCTCTCTCCCATCGGCTCAACTCGCCTTCATCCAGAGCGTACGTCAGTGACAAACGCTGGAGTCACACACTGCTACATATATACAAATACTTTAAATGTTTTCAAATATCAGATCACCCTTATTAAATGAAATTATATCCTGGTTTATATTGCTCAGTGACATTGCAGATCTGTCTATAATATGTCATTTCTCTTGGTCCTGTGGAATGATGCAGCCATGCTGTATGAGCAATTCCTCCTCCCAATCTCTGAAATATCCCAGCTCTACAGAGCAGAGTCCATCTCCTCTGTTAACCTGCTTCTCTGTAGAGTTCAAATTAGAGTGGATGTCTCTGAGCTCCTGTGGACCTTCTTTAGAGGAGAGTTTACTCAGTCCTCAGTGTTTGCTGCCACCCGGTCCTCCTGCAGGTGGAGGGTTTTGAACTGTTCTTTGCTGCTGGAATTGAAAGGTTTGACAGAAATAATAGCGATCTGTTAATTGTTTGGGAATCTAATCCATGTCAGACTAGTTATATTCCAACACCCTTTCTTATTGGTGTCAAACTAGACGCCTCTCTGTGACCTGCTGCTGGAGAAAATGGAAAATGAAATGCAAAGCTTCCATATTTTACCCATCTCAAGGTACATTTCAAGCTACATCTGTCGCCTTTAGCCATCTGAAGTTAGTTGATGTTATCTGATAGGTATTTTGGGTGGAGAACCAGTTGGTAGTGCTGGTTTGTCTGGGAGTGTGAATCCAGATAATTTCTCTTTGTAGGTGGATGCTGGGCTGACCTTCAGGAAGAAGGACTTGGAGCACAGCTTCATCTTCGACATCAAGACCATCGACCGTGTTTTCTACCTGGTGGCCGACACAGAGGACGAAATGAATAAGTGGGTTCGCAACATCTGCGACATCTGTGGCTTCAACCCTACGGACGAAGGTGACGATTGCTGCATGGGGTGTTCTGTTGGTGTTAATGCTGAGCCCCTACCCACAGTCCAGGCGGGGATTTGAGTAAAGGCACCCTTAGACATCCAGTCCTGGTTCAGCTTAGGTCCATAATGTCCAGCAGTGATTTCTGGGTTCCACCAAAGACTACCTTTATTGCAGCAAAGCAACAAGAACATCCAGGCTCTAGAAATCTGGACCAGATTTTCAAGTTTAAATAACCATTTTCATAAATTCATATCAAAGGAATTGCAGCTGCACAAGGAAAAACAAAGAAACAAAAACTGTAGGACAGCAATGCCCAAATGTATATTACTGGGTTAGTGTGGTTCTGTGTAACAGCTGAGGTCCAATGATGATGGTCAATAAATCAACTCTTCCTTAGAAAATCAGTAATGTTACTGCAGATAAGATTCAATCAGAGTGTAATTTTGCCTTCTGAAGAAATGAGGCGAGCGCTCCTTCAAACCTCAGCTCACTTCTCTATAAATGAACAGGCGTGACTCTGAGGAGGCCGTAACCACAAAACCAAAGACGCAACAGATTCAGATATTTAGTCTGATTTGTTATTGTGTTGGCTACATCAGCTTAAAGTTGTAGGGAAGTAATATTTAAATGTCAAATCATTCTAGCTTAAACATGTATATAAATGTACTCTTTATCAGACTATATTGTCCAAAAAGTTAGAAAATTTCCATTTTTAAAAAATCCTGTCTTTTCGTTATCTTATGCAGGCCAGTTAGTTGTACGTCAACTTGTACACCTAAATTCGGCCAACCATATATCAACGGTCATCTGTCAATCAAATTTTTTTGGTCATAGCATCTTGATTCATATGTCGCAGCTAATATACGCAACAGTTGAAATAAGAAATAATAACGGGGATGGACGTCTGTGTCTTCAGCAGGCGTAGAGCTAACAGAACTGGCAGCGTTGCGAGGCGAGGGCTGAAAGATGTACAGCTGTAAGCCTTCTACACCAAACCAAGCTTCTGCCGCCCTGGCCTCCTCTTCCACAACATCTTTGTCCTCTTTTTCCTCCTCTAAATAAAAAATGTATGACGAAGGAAACTCATCCACGCCCTCCGACCCAAAACTCTCCTCCTCTTGCATGTTTCTGCTGTCCATAGCGTTCTTTAACAGTGTCGTTGCTAACTGCTACTTGGTCGCAATGTTATTTCCTATTGGGAACCTACTAGCACTAAGTTGCTAACTGGTTAGCAAGATGCTTTCGACAAACCGGCTACAACCAAACTGCTTGCGAACCTTCTGCCACAACAATCCTGCCCCCTGGATAAATGACCAATCACATTCATTTTATTCACTCTGGTAAAGCCGGTCACCACTCGGGAGAATTCATAAATGCGTTTGGAACAGCCGCTTCCTTACAACTTTAAGTTTGAAAGAAACATTTAGATAAAATATAATCTTTCTAATGCATAACAATTAATTTCATGACATATATGTTATAACTTCATGCATTTGGACCAAATGACGGAGCCCCTTGGTGCTGGGTTCAACAAAGAAGACACAGTTTGAACCTGGATCTGACCAGACTGAGTTCACTGGATCAATCGTCATAGTAACCAAGTCAGACTTGGATCTAGTGAGCTTTAGGAAAAAATGACAAACTAAGCCTGACTTAAAATCTTGGCCTGGCTTAAAAAACGATGCCTTAAAAACTAAACCAGTTTGATGAAACCACTCTCAGGCTCCTTTGCAGGCTCTCTGAATGTTCTCTGTACGCAGGGTCATTGTTCAAACCTTTAGTTCAGGTTAGCAGCCATGAGGCCTGAAACGTTAAGCTTCACTGCTGGTTCTTAAAATTCATTGGCTCTCTAATGGTGTGTTCTCTGAGACAGTTTGGAGGCAGAGCTGAGCTGGATGTGCAGGAAAGTCTCTGTTCAGCAGAGTTTTCAGCCAAGGCCTAATGAAGCATGAGAGCACGGAGGCTCACGTTACTCTTGTTCCCGGTTCTGGATAATCAAAGCATTGTGTGCCTGCAGGTCTTGCTGACTTTCTCTCGCTCCTGGCCTTTTATCTGCTTCTCCTTCCCTCCTGTTTGTCTCTGAGCCAAGCTGCTAGCTGTGCTGGTTGTACTGTGCTCTTAGCTGTCTTATTTCTTCTCCTCCGCTGTGTGATTGCAGTCGGTCGTCTCATTGAACTTCAGGAGAATGATTTCCTCTTTGAATCTTTGTAAATCAGTCGCTGGTTATGCTGCTGCAGGGTCCTCCCTAAAAAGCAGACCTCTTCTTCGTTCTCATGGCTCATGTTGCAGGGCAGCGATGATATATCAGCATTTCGTTTTTTTCTTTTCCAGAGCTAGTAGAGCTCACTTCTAACCCAGCATGAGGAAAGCAGCAGATTGAAGGAGAAAGCGGCTGCACTCATGAAACGCCGTCCTTGGATCGCTCTGTTCCTCTCTCTCTATTTGTCTGCTTGCTTTTCTCTGCATGTGTGACCCAGCTCCCACTCGAGTGGGGCTATCCTGATGTTTAGAGTAGATATTTGAGGAAAGACAAAGGCCGACGATCTGCTTAGAGGCTGGAAAGGAATATAAAATCAAGAAAGAGCTTGGGTCAAAAAGCAAAATAAAATACATCAAATATGTATCAGAACTAGAAGTTCATGCCTTAATTTTTTTAAACTAAATTAGCTGATCAAAAGTTTTCACACCCCATAATATGTTAGTTAAACACAAATATTTCCTTCACCTTCACCTTTAGGTTCAAGCTGCTATTAAGTTTCATCTGTTGCTCGTTTGATGCTAAAGCAGATTAACTCTGGATGTCATTTATTCAGGAGTATCAGAGAAAAAAGGGCTTTGAAAAGAGATGATTTTAAAGTTAACAGATTTTTATTAGTGTAATATCTCCCAGTTAGGCTGTTTCTTCATCCCAGTTTATCCCAGAGTGTGCTGCTGTGGCGTGATGGAACATTTCTGAGGCGATGAGTAGGACAGAACAAAGCGACGTAGAGATGAAGAAATGTCTGTCAGACTTTTCTAAACAGAGGCTGCAGTCAGAGGTTTTGAAAAAAAAAAAACGCTTTAAGTCGCTGTGCGACAAAGCAGCGACCTTGACAAAGCGGAGCATCAATCAGGATGATCTTGTTCCTGCAAAACGTTTCATTGGCTGGAGCCGTGGATACTTGTTGATGAGGTGGCAGCGCATGCCGCCGCTGATTGCCTCCTCGTTCTCCATCGTTTCTCCAACGTTTCTTTCTGGCTGATCCGAAGGTGTTGAACGGCTTTGGTTCCCTTTTTGACACACAGCAGATGTTGATGCTGTTCAGCTCGAAGGTTCCTGTACGCCGCTGTGGTGTATTAATATGAGGTTGCTAGGCAATGCCCCGAGTCAATCTCCTCTCTGATTATGTGAGTTTAGGTCTGAGCTGTTAGGTCTTGGAGATCGGACCGGGCTCCTCATACCGCCTCCTTCAGGTATCGTCCAGTCTGCTAGAAGCCAGACCCAGACTGATCTCCACTATCTAGTCGGTCACATCCTGATGGTTCTGGTCCTCCTAATTACTTTAAAAAGTCAGATTTAAGGCTATTCTTCCTTTCACATTAAGATCGACCTCCGATTCTATTGTTAGAACCTCTAGGAACCACAAAGGAACCTGCAGACTGTGAGGAACATTAGGAATTAAGAATAAAGCTGGAACTTAATGGTAAATAACTTAAGGGAAGTCGAGAGGAACCATTTACATTTCTAAGTTTCACCAGAGTTGAATCATTGAAGAAATGCAATCTATAAAATGTCAAAACACAAGAAATATCAATATACTTCAGAGATCTGTGGAGACAGCAGACCAGGCCTAAAGCTTGGCCCATACATGTTCCCAGCGGAGGAAAAAAAAGTTCCCAAACCTTTGTTGCCTCCCAGCACCTCCGAGGAGATTTAAACTGACAAGTCATGAAGGAAATGGTCCTTAATGATGAGGCCGGTCTGCTGCGACCAATCCTCAGTTTTTATGAGTGGGAGAGAAACTGGATGGTGGAACATTTTGGTAAAAGAGAAAAGCTGTAACCATCAGAAACTGTATACATTGCTAAAAAATTAAGGGCACACGTACACAACACAATAGAACTTAAATTAAACCAAACTTCTGTGAAATCAAACTGTTCACTTTGGATGCAACACTGACTGACAATCAATTTCACATGTTGCTGTGCAAATGGAACAGACAAGAGGTGGAAACTTTTGGCAATTAGAAAAACACTCAATAAAAGAGCGATTCTGCAGCTGGGGATCATAGACGACTTCTCACTACCTGCTTTCTGGCTGATGTTTTGTTTACCTTTGAATATTGTTGGTGCTTTCATACTCGTGGTAGCATGATACGGACTCTACAACCCACACAAGTGGCTCAGGTGTTGCTGCTCATCCGAGATGTCAAATCAATGCAAGCTGTGGCAAGAAGGTTTGCTGTTTCTGTTAGTGTAGTGTCCAGAGGGCGGAGGCGCCACCAGGAGATACGCCAGTACAGCAGGAGATGTGGAGGAGGCTGTAGGAGGACAACTACCCAGCAGCGGGACGGCTACCTCCTCCATTGTGCAAGAAGGGATGGGGGAGCACAGCCATGACTGACATTAGGTACTGAGAGGAGATCCTCAAACCCCTTGTGAGACCATATGCTGGGCATTTGGCCCTGGGTTCCTCCTAATACAGGAGATTGCTAGACCTCATGTGGCTTGAGTGTAAGCAGTTCCTGCAAGATGAAGGCATTGAAGCTATGGATTGGCCGGCCCGTTCCCCAGACCTGAATCCGTTTGAGCACACATCTGGGAAATCATCCATCCATCTTCTTCTGCTTATCCGGGGTCAGGTCGCGGGGGTGGCAGCTTCAGACCAGACGTCACTCACCCCAGCCACTTGGGCCAGCTCCTCCGGGGGAATCCCAAGGCGCTCCCAGGCCAGGGTCTCCCCCTGGGCCTCTTCCCAGCGGGACGTGCCTGGAACACCTCACCATGGAGACGTTCAGGAGGCATCCTAATCAGATGCCCAAGCCACCTCAACTGGCTCCTCTCGATGTGGAGGAGCAGCGGCTCTACCCTGAGTCCTCCCCAGATGACTGAGCTCCTCACCCTGACTCTAAGGGAGAGCCCAGACACCCTACGGAGAAAACTCATTTCCGCCGCTTGTATCCAGGATCTCGTTCTTTCAGTCATGACTCAAAGCTCACGACCATAGATGAGACTAGGAACGTAGATCGACTGGTAAATCGAGAGCTTTGCTTTTTGGCTCAGCTCTCTCTTCACCACAACATGATGTCTCGATCCATCCACCAGCTACAGTGCACCACAGACTGTATAGGTTTTGGTAGATGTTTTAGTCCAGGTCTGAGAGGAGAGCCCTCAGGTGACCATCTGCTACCTCATCAGGAGCATGCACGGGAGGTCATACAGACACGTGGAGGATACACACCAAGCCTCATTTTTACCTATTTTAGGGACAGTACATTACAGTTGGATGAGCTGCTGTGCTTTTACACTTTAATTTTATATGTGACTCCAAATCCAGGCCTCCATTGGTTAATAAATTTGATTTCCACTGGTGATTTTTGTGTGCTTTTGTTGCCACCACATTCAACTTTGTATAGAACAAAGTATTCATTGAGAATATTGCATCCACTCAGATCTAGGATGCGTTAGTTGAGTGTTCCCTTTATTTTTTTGAGCACTGTATAATACATACTTCCATAAAACAAACTAATTAGTGAATTAGTGATTGAACTATTCTTTTTAGATAAGATCTTGCTGAGTCACAAATCCAGCCAATTAATCAAGCTACTACAGATGCTGAAGTAAAGCAGGTCCAGGGAAAAAGTATTGGATATTGTCTGAAATTCCAATATGCTGGATCTCTATTTGCTGTATTTATGCAAAGTTACATTATACTCTGACCTCTTTTTCTAATCCTACGTCTTCAAATTAACAAAAAAACAAAAAACAAAACTACATCTACTAAAAATGGTACTACATTGGGTCATGCTCTATAAATGTTTTACATAAACCATCTAGGAACTTTTTGTGATTGTTTATTTTTATGCAGATGATGTAGTTGTTTATTATACTGGAGCCTCTTCTACTGATGCAACTGAAAGCCTCTGTAGCTATCAAATCATCTTTATTGTCTTAAACTTGTTCTTAATACTAATGGCATCAAATGAATATACATTTCCAGCTTCAGGAAACCTCAATAGATCCCCTCAGTGTTTTCTTGTGGATGAAAATAAATAGTGCTGGGTCACATGTGTAGATATCTGCAAAACATCACTTTCAAACCTTTTGGACAAAACGGCTAAAATGTTTGGTCCAACCTTTTGGTCTGATGGACTGTGAGATCTGTCGTAGATTGTCGCTTCTTCTCCGGATGTTGGACTGTCCGTCTATCTCTGTTTTCTGAGGTTCTGTGCAATCTGTAAAATGTCAAAACACAAACACTGATTTAATTTTTACTGGTGGGTTGGTCCGCGTCAGCTGCTCAAAGATTTCTCACTTATTCATTTTTATTTAGAAGGCCTTGCTTAGTCTACTGCGGCCCATTCCGGTTCTGAAATGACCCTGAGAGATGTCGACCCGTATAGCTTTCTCTCACAATTCTGCTTCTCTTTGTCTCTGTTTCTCAGAGTGAATTAGAGCAGAAATTATCTGCTTCCTCCCAGCCTCAGAAACCGTTTAAATTAACTGAAATTGTCTCTTTGAGTACTGTTACCTTCAAACTAAAGATTCTTGAGGGTGATTTAATAATATGAAGATGTTTTCTTCCTTCTTTTTATCCAATAACTCTGTTAAAAGAAAGGATTTTAATTTCAGAGGAACCCCTCAGTTTGTATAAAGCTTAAGTGTTCAAATATTCTCTGTAATTAACCTTCATCTTTCCTCCTGCAGATCCTACTAAAAGTATTCAGCAATCAGCCGCTGTTGTGGACACCCCCCCACACCCAGTTTTAGGTAACCTGGTCGGTCCAGGAGCGTCGATGCTGGGGGGCATCCCTCCCCCGTACCAGCCGGTCAGTGTGAGACACTTGGACTCCCAGTCCAGTTCAGAGGACCCCCAGGATTACCTGTGGCTCGCCAACTGTGAGAGCAAAAAGCCAGAACCCAACAGGTGTGTTTGGGGGGGTGTTGTTCTTCTGTTAGGGCTGCTGCACAGCCTAATAAAATGATTTTTTCCCTCCAGTTTCTAAGACGGATAATATTTTTGTTATCATCTAATGTAACTTAAAACAAAGTTGTGAATTGACAGCTTTTTGTCCAGATTCGATGAAGCCTGTAAACATGTTCCTTCAACGCTCATTTTAGGTCTTTCAGATGAAAAACAAAGCAGAGCAAAAGACGAGGCATCAAGCTGATACCTCAGTTAACAAACTGCAAATTCTGCTTGAATGAAATGATCAGAAAATGACAAAGATTCATGATGAGGATTAAATAAATTTGAAGAAATTTAGAATCTGCTTGATTAAAGCATAGAAAGAATTATTATCCACAGCGGAAAAAAACCTAATCAGATTATTCCACCAATGACAAGGTTCCTTAAAAACACACAGGCGTCAGAAAGTCAAAGAATAAACTCACTTATTTTATTAATAATTATGTTTGCAGTCTTTACTGTTGAGTCTTTAGTGCTTATTGGCAACCAATCAGCTGCTGATAGCCACCTGTTGCCTGGCAACTGCTGTTTTAAGTCACTGTTACTTTAACAGACTTTTGTTTTGTTTGTTTTTATCTCTGTTTGCTTTTTTAACTCTTTGTTCATCTCTTAGCAGCAGAAAAGGGCGTTCTCCTTTCATTTAGCTGACCTGTAGTTTGTCAGCAACAGGTGGGGCAGGGGCAGTACTTTTAAGCGTCTGGACAGAAATGTTCTTAAACCTCAGTAGCATCATTGGCCTTTTTGTCCAGAGAGGAGAGGGTGTATAAATGATGAAGCTCCAGGGGAACCTGTAGTGTTTTAACCTCTCTGCTGCTGTCTGTAGCCCAGCGGAGCCTCGGCCTCCGTTGGGGGGCGGTCAGGAGTATTTGCTCCTGGAGGAGTGTGGGAGCAGGACTCTACCTCCACAGAACAGTCAGTGAGTGTCCAGAAAGCGGACTGGACCCGCCTGCCTGCCTGTGTGGAGTGCTGCAGATGGATGAGATCTAACTCAGTAATAAAACAAGCATGTTTGGACTCCTGCCGGCGCCGTTGCACTGGGCTTTACTGGGTTTGACCAAAGTTACACTAACACGGCAGAAGCAGCTAGATTAGATGTTGATGGATTAAATCTGGGTGGAGTGAAGGTTTGCTGTGACCCTGGGGGGGATGGGGGTGGGGGTTCTGCTCCTCTCATCCACCTGTGTTCTGTCCTCAGAGTTCACGCCGAGTGCTCCAAGTCTACCTCCTCAGAGACGGACCTGAACGACAACCTCCCATCCCACCGCACGCCTACGTCCGCCTCCTCCTTACCCAAACACGCTTCGCACAACGGCTTCTTCCCGCAGCCCCCAGCCTCTGCCCCCTCCTTCTACGACTCTCCTCCGTCCCGTGGCGCCTCCCTCTCCTCTGATGCCGGCATCTACAGCCTCCCTCGCAGCTACTCCCAAGATACCGTGCTGCTCCCCAAGTCGGCCACATCCCCCCCGCCCAACCCAGACGGCGGCGATGCCTCCGAACTTTATGTCTTCAACACGCCTTCCAGAAAGACGTCGTGCGTGGAGACGCAAATGAGAAATCTTTCCATTAGCTACGACATACCACCCACGCCAGGCGCCAACTCGACCTACCAGGTACCCCGCACGCTGTCGTCATCGACGGGTGGCCCGGACAGCGGGGGGGATGTGGTCCCCCCTCCCAGACCGCCTAAGCCGTCGCTCAGCTCCACCCCAGGGCTCCCACCGCCTCCTGCTGAGCGCTCGCCCACGGACACCTACTGCGTGCCGCGCTCGGCCTCGGAGACGGACGGGAACTACTGTGTGCCGACCAGCGCCGGGAACAAGGCGCTACGCAGCAACACCATCGGCACCATGGACAGCTCACACCTCCGTAAAGGTTGGTGCTTCGAAAAGTATTCACACTCCAGAACTTCTCACTTCCAGATTTAAAAAAATGTCTTTTTACTGATACTTTATAACACTGAGCAGCCACCTTCTGCGGGGCGCCGCCCTTTGATCCATTCCTCACTGATACACTGAGGTTATTCCAGAACCCCCACCTGTAGAAGAGCTCCTCTGTGTGTAAAGTTGTGTTAGGTTGACTCAAAGAACGGTGGTGGCAGCATCATGCTGCGGCGCTGCTTAGAGCTCAGACTGAGGTTCACCTTCCTCAACATGAGAGCCGCAGCCAACCTTCATCCTGCTAATAGATTCATCTGTTGATTCTTTTTTGGTTTAATAAAGGGACTGTGGAAGCTGCCTAAATTATTATCCGATACCGAATTTAAAGGAGCTGAAGCTAAAACTACGTCACTGCAGGAGTCCTGGATAGAACAGAGAAGAAAGTGAATTTAAAATGTTTTTAATGCATCATTACTGCTCTGATTGGTTCTCAGCTAACAACTGATCCATAACTGAATTACACAACCATCAGAGTTGTTACAGTATTCATGTTTAATACTCTAGTAGAGGTATACATTCTACTGTTTAAAATTCCTTTTGTAGAAGTTAAGAGTATAAACTCAAGCTTTTTACTCGGGTAAAAGTGTAAAAGTACCAGTTTTAAAACTACTTGGAGTATGAAAGTTAAAGCAATCCTGAAGCTTTAAACCTTAAACTGTACTGCCCTATTAAAGGAACATTTTTCTAAAATTCTGGATGATAACTTCCATATACTTAATTTTCTGAGTTTTATAACTATCGGCAGCAATGTCAAATGTAACTTTGCATTATCTTGAAAAATCTATTTATATAACCATAAAGAAATTGCCTGGATGAATCTAATTATTTTGATGTTTTGTTTTGTTTTAATACAAACAGGCCATAAACAAAATGGCTTAAATGAAACGAAACAAATGAGTTTATTTCTAAAATATAAGGAGTAGAAAGTAGAGATAATTCCAAAAAAAAAAAAAAAAGGAAGGAGTAGAAGTAAAAAGCTGTTTAAAAACACATGTACTCCATTAAAGTCTAGATAGCCAAAATTGCTACTTAGGACATTTTGTCAGTTATTGTGTGATTGATCTGATTAATTGTCTCAGCCCTGCTAACTGTGCTGCCAAGGCGATGGGAGTCTGAGATGGAGGCGCAGTCATCTGTCCACTCCTACATTTAACTGAATATATTTAAATTTGTTCTGCAGAGATTATTTAGAAAAGAATTTTACATTATTCAGAGCCTTCAAACTTTCAGCAAAGCCAGCAGATATGCTCCTAACGGTTATTTCCCCGCAGGGGGTCTGAACACCAACACCTGCAGCACTTCTACGCTTCATTAACCTAATCCTACTAAAGGCTTTGGTCTGGAAACTCCCATAAAGGGTTTTTAAAGTTTGGGGGAGAACGTCCCAAAATATGAGCAAAAGAAAATCTCCAGGGAATTTTGGTGCCCTAAACTCTTATATTTAAAGTTCTGAGAGATCTACCTTCAGTGTTTAGTAATTTACCCATGCTTTGAGATGTTTTAGTAGTTCCCTAAGGGAAGCAAAAAAATACAAAAAAAACAAAGTGCAGTGATCAAATAAGATAATTTATTTAACAAACATCTGAAGCAGGAAAGGAAGTTTTAACATGTAACCAAAACAAATGAGTTAAAAGAAAGGGAAGAAAAACATCTCCTGCCACTCGTTATGCCCCCTTGTGGGGGAAAAAGGAAGTTCTTCCAGAAATCATTTAAACCAAAGATGATCTGCTCCTCACTTATCAGAAACAGGAAGTAGCTCAGATTGATCAGGGTTCACTTTCAGCAGCTGGAGCTGCAGACGTTTCCTCCTTCATCTGCCTGAGCTACAGTTTCATTTCTAAATTAATTCTTGGATTTTGTTTCCTTGATTGGGCAAAAAAGGAACCTATGTGAGAACAAATAAAAACTGCTGGAGTAGGGTGAAAAAATTAACCCACATTTATTGGCAGGAATCTGTCAAATTAATTGCTTTATAGAGATTTTGGGGATATACTATAAATATATCTTTAAAAGTCCTAAATGTTTATAAAAATAGTTTTCCTCCCAGAAAATTTAAACTAAATGGAAATGAGACATTTTCAGTGTAAATCTAAAGCTTATCTCAATAAATTCAGTTGTGTTGGTTCCTACAGAGGTTCTTTCAGCCTCTGCTCTGTCAGCCTGGCGAGGCGTTAAAGTTCTTCACCAGCGTACGCAGTGAGGAAGATGGCGAGAACCAGCTCTAGAGCTCACTGCCAGAGAACCACAGCGTCCTGCACTGTTCCTGACTCTGGGTCAGGATGAAACAGCATGAAAAGTGAAAGCCTGGGATTCTTTCATTGTCATTATGTTCTCAATATTGTTTGAGTTTTCTTAGATGTTTAAAGCTTTTGTAAAATAAAAGTTTAAAATTATTTCTGCTCAGATAAATCCAGATTAAACCAGAGATGTTTGTCTACTTCAGGGACTCTTTTTTTTTTTTATGCAGCTTTTGATTCTTAAAACATTTTGTAAAGGTTAAAAGCTTAAAAAGTTTCCTTCTGCATGAGCCCTGGTGTGTTATTAAAAGCTGTCTCTTTCAATAACACACCAAGGCTCATGCTGTGCTTAACTCTTTATCCTAAGAAGATGTTGTCCACTTTCCTATTTATCTTTTCATGTTTTGCAGACTTTGGATCCCAGGACTTCTATGACATTCCCAGATCATTCCCCTCAGACAAAAGCTGCTCGTTTGACTTCAACGAAAGCTTCAACAGCTACTTTGTAAGTGTCTCCTTTAGCTCTAGCAGATTATCAGACTATGATGGGAAGCAGTCCCTGACAGGGACTCTCCATTGAGGGACGCACGCCCGTTTTCCTGAACCGTGTTCTTGTTTTCTCTTCTCTTCCACAGAAGAGCAAAGGGATGATGCCAGTGAGCAGCCACTCCATGGAGGAGGTGGAGCAGAACTACGTCCCCATGAGCGTTAACTCCCCGTCGCAGCACCACTCGGGCAGTTTGCCAGAGCCGACGCACGATACGAACTATGTTCCCATGACCCCGAGCACCATGGAGTTCTCCTCCCTGGGGAAGCAGGTCCCCCCGCCCGCCCACATGGGCTTCCGCTCCAGCCCAAAGACCCCTCCCCGCCGGCCGGTGCTCAGCGAGTGCCAGCCTCCGCCTGTGGACCGGAACCTGAAGCCGGACCGTAAAGGTGAGCCCTGAGGCTGCGTGCATGCGGCTGTGGTTGGTGTTCTGTTTGTCGTTGCTTTACGTCAGCCTCGCTGTCCACTAACTAACCCTGCAGCAGATAGCTCCTCCTCTCACCTCACAGTCGGGTCATATTGTACTGCAGATGTCTGTAGAATCACGCTGTGTCTGCATGTTTCTGAGCTGGTCAGACGTTTCCACCACATCTTCAGTCACATTTTAACCCTTTAATTCTAGGGAGCTGAACTGGAGCCCAAAACTTTTTACATTTTTTTTGTAACCTTAGATAATAAAAAAAAAAAAAAAAAAATTGGACACAGAAAAAGTAAAACTTAAATTTTTCAGATTCAAGTGTTTTTTTTACAGTGCTGGCTGGCCTGCATGAGGGCGGAGCTTAGATGACATAGAGGCAGACTGGTGACACCTTAGAAAATAACCTGCTTCTCTGATCTAAGTTTATGGTAATCCCGTAGTTTCTGCTGCCATCATTCTGAAGGTTCCTCCGTTTCACCTGCAGACGATGGGAAACGTCCAACAGCGCGGTAATTTCTCAATATCAACATTTTCCCCACAGGACACAAACGACTGGGATCAGAGAAACAGTTTCATTTTTTAAATCAGTCACATAAACACAGAATATTGATGCTCTTTTTTTAAACATTTCCAGGCACGTAAACTGTCGGTCATCATCCACACGCACTGTCATCTAAGCCCCGCCCCCACGGCAAAGCCCAGTAGCTTGAAAATGAAAAAAAAAAAAAAAAATCGTGAATCTAAAAAGTAGTTTTAAAATTTTCTTATTTTTTGCAATGTTTTATTGTTTTTAGTTTAAAATAAAAAAAAATTCACTTGGAAAAAAAAGTATTTATAATTATGGGGATAAATCATATAAAGTAAAGTCCCACTATTTCTGCTTTTTTATGTTGTAAAGTTAGATCATGCTTCTAATATATGAATCATAAGAATGCAGGCAAAGGATAATTTAATAAAAAGTAAAAAAAAAAAAGGCTGTTAAACAAACTTTATGGCCCCATTTTAGTCCCCCTCCCCCCAAATAACACCATGAAGGGACCAAAGCCTGGAAAGATCTCCTCCATCCTCCTTTGTTCCATCATTTCAATGCAGCCCTTTGATTAGAGACCTGATGGCGAAGCGGTTTCTTTAGTCGGAAGCCGCCAAGGAGAAGCAGCCAGGGGAGAACATCACACAGACCCAATCAAATACATGGCAGGAGATGTCAGGGCAGAACATTAGCCTGCTTCTTCCCGACTAACACGACCCAATTAGGACTTCCTCTTTCCTCATATCCCCACAGCCCAAAACTCTGACATGTGACACGGTTAAAGGAATAAGAGGAAAAAAAAAATTAAAACTTCAGATTGAAGCAAAGCTGAATTTAAGACTCAGTGTTAAATTTGTTTAAGATTTAAACAAAGGGAAAATATGAATTTTGCTCTGGTCTTATTTCTCTGCTGATTCCAGAAAGGATCATCTACATCTACATTTTAATATTTCTATGCATATATGAGACATGAGGCCAAACCCAGCACAACTTCCTCCTAATTGTACCTTTAGTCTCTTAATTTATCTATCAGTTCTGCTCATCATCAGTGAACTTCATCCTCTGAGGATTCATCAGATGCTCTGAAGACCCCAACCATTTTGATCCAGCTCCATTTAACATATTTGACTTTCTGGCACGTTTGCGGTTGGAGTGTTTCTGTGACTTCCTCCTGGTTTCCTGACTTTACATTTGTGTTCTTCTTCTGTTCCTCCTCTTCACCATGACCTGGTTTTTAAATGTTTTCTTCCACACCGACCGTGCATGCACAGCCGTGATGTCAGTCTTTGTGTGGGAAGCCGTGCTGCATGGAGTGTGGTGCATGTTGGGCAGTTTGGTCCCCGCTGTTGTCATGACGATCACTCTCTTGATTTGTGCTGCTGATGGAAGAATCGAAGGTGACTGGTATTGGTGAGGGCGCAGCTTCGCTGTGCAACAGAGCGGTGTGGTTTGCTTTGCATGGCAGAGCAGAACGGCTCCTACTTTAGGCTTGAAATGTTGTGATCACCTTTTATTTTATAATAAGCAAAGTTTTCTTTCACCAATCAGGTCAAAGTCCTAAAATAATAAGAGCAAAGGTTGTCGGTTTAGAGCGAACCGACTCTCAAACCGTAGGTGAATTCCCGAGGGGACGACGCAAGGGTACGTACACCCCCCACTGCTTCTGTGTATCTGAAACCTCTTTGCACACAACACTTCATCTGGACCCTTTGCATGCCTTAATTGGGAATCTTCCTTCTTATGTTGCAGGGCTTTGATTAAAACAAATGTCAAATTGATCCAACTAATCCAGTCTGACTGAAAATGTTTGCAGGAAATGCTGGGAATGTGGCCTTCATGCACTTTGGATCCACACAATACTCCCCAACACTAACAGTGTGTCTGAAATGCAATCAGATGAAATACTAACATATTTCCAAACTTTCTTATCATCCATTAATGTTTGTAATGCGGCACATGGCTGCTGCACAGCACATTAGGAGATAACAGCAAACACCTTCATGCCTTTGGAAAGACCACATGACTTTTCAGGAAATTGAAAGGATACAATCTGAGGAACGGAGCCGAGCATGACCCGTTCTCTACGTGTTTATATTCCATTGATTTAATGTATGAAGACAACAGATAATCGGAATTAGACATAATTTAATAATCCCAGAGGAAAATAAGAGTCTGCCTGTCCTTTCTCTCTGAACTTCCCACCATTGTTAGATGGCACAGAGAGCCAAACAAATCATGACAGAAAGAATATTTTAGTGCAAAGATTGATGTTTATAAGGAATTGCAGGGGACCAGCCAAGAGCCCATCAAGGAAAGAGAGGAGATGTAGAATGGCTCCTACTTGAACGTAGACGAGGGTTAAGTCCTCCCAGTAAACCACAACCCTTTGCCCTCATAGTGTTTACTTTGTCCTTTTTTAACCTGTGGATTCCCGGACGCCATCAGCAGACATAAACATTGTGGTACAGCGTCTCCATCTGCTGGCAGGACTAACTCACCGATCCATCATCTTGGCAGCTTCTTAAACGTTCATCATGTATCCTGAGAGCCACTCCCGTTTTCTCTCTCTATTTTTCTTTTGTTTTTTTCAGATGTAATCTTGGACTTTTCCTCTTTCTTTCCAGATCTTTGGTTGGGAACTTAAATCCTTGTTTGCTCATAGATTAGCAATGTCGTATCTCCGATTACCTGGTCTAGTTACAGGGAATACTGTAGTTAGCTTAAGTATTCACACCCCTTAAACTTTTCCCACTTAGTCACATTACAACCATAGACATTGATATATTGTTGTTATTTTGATGTGACCAACAGAAAGTGGTATGGGATTGTGAAGTAGGAAATAAAGAATTCCACCCCCACCTGAGACAGTACTTCCTCAAACCACCTGTTGTCGCAATTCCAGCTTTAATTATTTTAGTGTTTATCTCTACCCAGCTTTGAAAATCCGGAGACTGACACTTCTGGCCCATTCTTCTTTGCCAAACAGCTCCAGCTCAGTTAGATTAGATGGAGAGCATTGATGAACAGCAGTTGTCTGGATCAGGTTTAGGTCTGGACTTTTACTTTGACTGGCCACTGTATCCCTGGCTTTATGTTTATCGTTATTGTCTTGGTTGAAGATGAATTTCAGGCTCCAACAGCATTTCTTCATGTTTTTAACTCTATCCATCCTCCCATTAACTCTAACCATCTTCTCTCTTCCTGCTGAAGAGAAGCAACCCCAAACAATGATGCTGCCACTACCATATCTGACAGTGGATACTGTGTAGAGTGATTTTCCTCCACTTTCCAGAATGGCTTCTGGCAAACTGAAAAAGCTAATTCTGATGGTTTTCTTTCAAGACTTTCCAAGACCAATAGTTGTCCTTTGGTCAGATTCCCCTCTTAAGCTGTGAATCTCTGCAGGCAGCCTCTTTGACCTGTGCTCTCTTTGTTCGGCCGGTAGGTTTAGGAGGGCGCCCTTGTCTTGGTAGCTTTAAAGGGGGTCCATCCTTTTTCCATTTTATGGATGATGGATTGAACAGAGCTCAGTGACATGTTCAGATCCTGGGAAATCTTAATAGCCTAATCCTTATTAGAACTTCTCCACAGCTTTATTCTGTTTGCTGTGTTCTTGAACTTCATGGTGCTGTTTGCTCGCCAGACTTCTCTTAGCTTCTAAGGGCATCACAGAGCAGCTGGATTATACTGAGATTAGATCACACACAGGTGGGCTCTATTCAGGTATTAGCAATCATCAGGCAACCACTGAAGGCATTTGGTTGCCCTAAGAGAAAAGGAGGCTGAAAACCTTTGCACACTGCACTAAAAATGTATGAAATCATTCATGTCGCTTTTACTCCACCTTGTATACCACTATGTTTGTCTTCAACGTACGATTCTAATGAAATATGTTTGTGGTTGTAATTTGACAAAATGTGGAAAAGTTCAAGGGGTATGAATACTTCAAGCCACCATACCGTAGACTTCCTAGGTTTACTGACAAATGGACCAAAGGTATAAGACACAGAAATGTCACACAATAAGGAAACAAGTTTATTATTCAAATAACTCATTTCTATGAAGTGCATTAGGTTTAATTTCTTATTGAACGTCAACCCAAAACATTAGTGACGTGAACTTAAAATCAGCATCTCTGCTCTTTCCTTTTTCTCTCGGTCCCATTTCCTGTCTGCGTACATTCAAAAATAATCATTATATATATATATATATATATATATATATATATATATATATATATATATATATATATATATATATATTTTTTTTTTTAGGAATCTCTTCCTACGATTGTGAAATCTGCCTCCTGACCCCTGATCTAAAGGACCGAAAATACTACTTGCAACAAACCATGCCCCCAAAAGATTGCATCTATGCATCTTTTATGGTTGCATATTATTAGATGTAGAATAGGTGGTCGTTATGACGACAGCAGATGGATTTACTGCAGCCTTAGCTCTGATGAGCAGTTATTAGTTGGTTATTGCAGGTTTTTGTTGGTCCAGTTAAACACCAGCAGGTGATTCGTCTATAGATGAATGCTTTGTTTCACTGTTGAGGTGAAATGAGGAGTTTATTCTGACGGCTCCATGGGTTCTGTCTCTAATGTAGGGAAACCGGCACCGTTGGAGATCATACCCCTTCCGGAGTGGGAGGAGCCCTGCACACCTGTCCGCTCACCGGTCACACGCTCATTCGCCAGAGAGTGAGTATCTGACTTGCTGGACGCTCCTGTCATAGTTCTCCGTTCCACTAACGTCAAAGAGCACGTTCTCACCGCTCGCTCTCCTCTGCCTGGTTCCTCACCACAAGATCTAAACAGTTTCTCATCAGAACCTGTTGGAACTGGCTCCAGATACGGTTCCAGTCTGGCTCCAGAACTTTATCCCTGACAAAACAGTTGGTGAGTGATTCGACCATCTGGATGCTGTGAACTAAAAACCTTAAGGATGCACATATAATCCACAGCCACAAATTCAAATGACATCATTATCATCAGAGAATACCTCCAGGACTGTAGCTCACTGCAAAAACCGATGTTAAAATAAGTCTAATATTCTTTATTTTTATGCATATTTGGCCTCAATTTATAAATCTGATGAGTTGCCCCTGGAAGGAATATATAAACATAAATCCTCTTCTTCAATTTGAAAACTGTCTTTCCCAACTGCTCAAAACAAGCAAAGAGATATTTCTAGAAGAATTACTGACTTCGATTTCAGTTTTTTGCAGTGTTGATGATTTTCACGGTTGAAGCAGAGCCTGGTGAGAACGTGGCCTTTTTAGTGAATCACTGAAGAAGTACATGCTAACTCTTCATGCATTAGCATAGTCACTGTCTGAGCGAAGTGGACCTGCTGCTAGAAGCGGGTTATGGACCGGCTGCTGTTTCTGTCTCTGCCTCTGTAAACGTTGTGAATGCTGCTCAGTCCCTCTAGGTTCCCAATGCCGGCGAGACCCCCGTCAGTGCATAGCACGGCCTCCAGCACTGACTCCGAGGACTTTGCAGAGAACTATGTAGAAATGGATCCTAATATACCCACAGATGAACCAGTATGTAACACACAACCACTCTGATGAAAACCAAAATCATTACAGTTTTTGCTTTGAATTAAGTTAATGACCAAATTGTAATTTTTTAGCTTTTATTGTCTGTTTAAAGGAGTAAAGAGTTTATAACATATGCAGGGATATTTTTCATAAAAGCCTCTGAAAGTTTAAATATGGCCGTGAAATAGGAACAAGTAAAAAAAATAAAGATAATTTCTGCTGCTACTTGGGGATCAGGTAGTGACTCTTACAGATGGACTCCTCGGCACTTTGACTCCTTTCTTTGCAGTTTCTTCCTCTTTCTTTCCTCTCTGTCTTTATTTGATTTCCCTTTTCTTTACAGGTGTTGTTTTATTTCCCAGTTCAAGTAATCACCCACTCTGAACATTATGACCGCCTGGTTTGGACATAAAGTAGCAGAACTGGAAGCTGCAGAAAGAAACTAGTTATTGTAAGGAGGAAAATCTAAAAAGTGTGGTGTGTTTGTTTTCAGACCCTTGACTTCAAACCATGTAAAGCTACTTCAGGCTTTATGAGTCTTTTCAAGTTGTTCTTTGTAAACCTTGAAACTGATTCTAGACTTTGACTAGGCTGTTGCTCTTTAGGGTCGCTGTGGTGCTGGGAGGTGAACCTCTGGCCCAGTTTAACTATCCCTCACCAGTTTGACCTGGTAGGGAGGTGTTGTCACCTCCACAGGCCAGACGTTCTCCATCTCTCTCATTTGGACTCACTATGACCTTCTTGGACCGATAGGTTGATGGTCCAACCTGAGTGGCTGGCCTTTGCAGCTCCTCCAGAGTTTCTATGATCTCTTAAAGGGGAACAACGATTTTTTTTTTTTTTTTACATTGGGCCCTTGATTTTACGTTATTACATCATGTTCTACTCACCCATATGAGTTTTGTGTCATTTGGAGCCGTTCTGAAGATATTCCGTTAGGTTATATCCAAGTAACGTCTTCCTATGAGCAACGAGTTGAAGGCACAAACTAAACTGTTCATAATTTATCATTTATGGTACGGCAGCATTCATAACATGTAGGCGAATCACTGTACCCCAGACATCCGCGGTTTATATTTATGTTTTAAAAACAAAGCGGCGCTTGTATGACGTCATCCACGTGTGCCGGCTACCATTCCTTCATCCTGTCCGCTGAATTGCTGCTAGTTTTACTCACAACCTGGAAGATGTCTAGTGCTACGACCACAGATGATCTCGCTCTCTAAATGGAATTGAACGATTCAGATTAGCTATTCGAATGAATAGAAGGGGTAGAGTGTAGCCGCCTGTGGCCCAGGCTGCCTGTCACAACCCCAGTGCGTGGATGACGTCATCGCTTTGTTTTTAAAACGTATAAATATAAAAAATATAACATCGGATGTTTGGGGGGCAGTGATTCGCCTACATGTTAACATTGCTGGTGTAGCATAAAGAATAAAGTATAAAGAGTTTAGTTTGTGCCTTCAAGTCGATCGCCCATAGGAAGACGTTACTTGAATATAACCTAACGGAATATGTTCAGAACATATGACACAAAACTTATATGGGTGAGTAGAACATGATGTAATAATGTAAAATCAAGGGCCAAATGTGAAAAAAACGGCGTTCCCCTTTAAGGTCTGGTTATACTTCAAAGAAGTGTGTCGCAGTGAGCTTGTTGCAGGTATGGAGCAGATATTTTTGATTTATGCCCAATTTTGAAGCGTGGTCTGCGTTATGTTATTCCACGCCATAACGCAAAGAGGACAATCGCAAACTAGCTGTGGGTCTGGATACGGCCGGGGTGGTGCTGAAGTGGAACAATGCAAGCGGCAGGTTTATGCAATTACAGAGGGACACAAGGGCATAAAAGAGTGGCAATCCAGGTGGGAAAAGGGTCCCAGCGTTTTCCCGCACTACGCATTAACTGCGACTCACACACAAGCGACCTGGTTTCTGAGAATAAATCAGCACTAGACTGCTTCTATGGTGAATTAGAGGTGGGCAGGTGTTCAGCTCTATCCGTCTAGCCGTGACTTGTAGGACATCTGGCTGGAAACCGAGATTCTGTTGCAAACAGGTGACCAGACTCCAATCAGTTTGTCCCCTTCTGAGGTCTGTTGATTATGCCAGCGTTTATTAGGGGACACTGGAGTAAAAGAGGTTGAAGACAAACAAACACCACTTTTTGTTCTGAAGATCTCACAGTTCTGCAGCACTTTGTGATGGTCATAAGCTCCTGATGATGGGAGGTCAGAGTTTAGACACTGAAGGCTCCAGAGGTTTCCAGTGATTCATTCACTGCTCTGGTTTCTGCTTTTCCATTTTCTGCCTGTTCTTGGTTATTAACAGCTGCTGCCCTTTCTCTCTCATCTCTCACATCATTTTTATTCTCCTCTAGTTTCCTCCTCCTGGGCTTCCTCCAACTCCTGCCTTCAACCATTTCCTTTATCCTGCTTTTTTGGTCCTAACCATCTGCTTTCCTGTTCCTTTGTTTTTTTTTTGCTGCTTCCACCTTTTCTTGCGTTCTGTAGAGAGGAGTCCTTCTACTGCACCGTCCCCATCACCCCCGTAAAAAGGGAGGTGGAGGAACGTGACACCATAGAGGAGGTGAGCAGGGCTGCTCATGGGTTGCACATGGATAGCCTGCCCTGGGAGGGGGGGAGGGGGTCATTGTAATTGATTTATTTTAGTCTCATCCTAGTTCTAATATCTCCACCGTACTTGTAGAGCAGAATTAACTCCAGCTCTGAAACCACAATTTCTGTTGATTTTAACAAAACCACAACTCTTTGTTCTGCCGGCCTGGATTACAGCGGACATGTGTCTTTATTTACAGCTCTGTAGAAATGTTCTCTTCATTCTGGTCCATGACGGTTTGTATTCAGTCAGAACCATGAAGAATCTCTGCCATAAACGGTTAGAAATGTTCCGTCCAGTGGCTGAAGGTTAAACTTCCTGCAGCGGTTTAGTTCTGTGAGATGATCGACACCGACTGTTTATATACCATTAATATATGTACACCACTTTAATTTGATCACATGACACAGATTTTTTTATAAGCTCATGGAAATAAAAAAGTCAACTGTTGCAAAGTCCCAGGCTGTGGGACGTTGTGCAGCGCGGCTCCTCAGAAATAATGCCGGCTTTTGCGAAAGCTCGAACAACAGAGCCAGCAGACACGTTAGTCCAAGCATCAACAATCCATCCGCAAACGGTGGTGTAACTGCCCGGCGCTGCCTTCCACTTATCCTGAAACTGTGCTCTCCGTCTGTCATCCATCGCTCCCACGCCGCTCGCAGCCTTACTTTGAACGGCCGCTTCACACCGATGTCGAGCGGTTGAAGTTCCTTTGTCAGACCCCCGGGATAACGGCGAGCACAGCATCCATTTGATTCACCTTTTTTTTCACATCAGCTGTGAGATGGGCACGCAGCGATGGTGATGCGTGGAAAAAAACACCTGGTCTCCTAACATACACCTGCCTCAGCCACGCTTTCATCATCTCCTCATCCATCCAGCCTTTTTCATTTGCGTTAATATCATATGTCATCAGAGCGCTGTCTGTCTCGCTGTCAGCTCCCAGATCAGCTTCTCTGATTGGTTGATGCGGCGCGTCCAGCAGCAAAACTTCAATTTTTCCATCTCGAGCAGCAGCAGCGCGTTGGCGGTGCGTCAGATGCTTAAACGCTCCAGACGCGCTGCGCCTGCTGCTCAAAACGCGCTGCGGGACCTTTTGCTGCACCTATACGCACGTCAACCATTGACTTTGCATGTAAACTCGCTGCTTCTGCTGCACCTGCTTGGTCCGGTTCACACCGATGTCGAGCGGTTGAACAGCGAGCACTGCGTTAATTTGTTTCCCCATGTTTTTCACATCAGCTGTGAGATGGGCACGCATGGAGTCACAGATTAACAGCGATGGTGATGAGTGGAAAAAAAACACCTGGTCTCCTTACATTCAGCCACTCTTTCATCATCTCCTCAATGAGGTGGTCTCAAAAGTCGCAGTTACAACACACATAGGGCGCACCGCACCAAAGGGCGCACCGCACCTTTTGAGGGAAAAAAAAGACGTTTAAGTGCGCCTTATAGTCGTGAAAATACGGTAGATATGAACCAGAGCGCTCGTTTTAACACCAACATGAGCAGTTTCTGTGTTGTTTGTCATTCAGTGGGTTCAAACTAACTATTTAATACCCGCCTCTGTTGGATCGATCTAACTAGTTATTACCTATACCAATATAACTATTAGGTTATTAGGTTGATCAAACTAGTTATTACCCATCCCTGTTCGGTCAATCTAACTAGTTATTACCTAAACCAATCTAACTAGTTATTAGGTTGATCAAATTTGTTATTACCTGCCTCTGTTAGGTTAATCTAAGTAGTTAGTATCCACCCCTGTTAGGTAAATGTAGCTAGTTATTACCTATACCAATATAACTATTAGGTTATTAGGTTGATCAAACTAGTTATACCCCACCCCTGTTAGGTCAATCTAACTAGTTATTACCTATACCAATCTAACTAGTTATTAGGTCTATCTAACTAGTTATTACCCACCCCTGTTAGGTCAATCTACCTAGTTATTACCTATACCAATCTAACTAGGTATTAGGGTGATCTAACTAGTTATTACCCACCCCTGTTAGGTCAATCTAACTAGTTATTACCTATACCAATCTAAAGAGTTATTAGGTTGATCTAACTAGTTATTACCCACCCCTGTTAGGTCAATCTACCTAGTTATTACCTATACCAATCTAACTAGGTATTAGGTTGATGGAAATGGTTAATTACCCACCCATTAGGTCAATCTAACAAGTTATTAGCCACCCTGTTTGGTCAATCTGACTGGTTATTACCCACCCCTGTGAGGTCAATCTAACTAGTTATTGCGTTGATCAGACTAGTTATTTCCTTCCTCTATTGGGTCAATCTAACTAGTTGTTACCCGGCTCTGTTTAACCTGACCGTTAGCTGCTGTTTAGTCATTGTGTCTCAGATCAGAACAGCATCTAAACTAGACTTTTAGTTTCCCATCAATCATCAGATCTTTTGCTTCCAGGATCATCATGTTTATAAAACGAATAATTAACTGAAAGCTTGGTTCTTTTTTTTTCTCATGGCTGATAGACTGGTGTGTTCATCCAGAGTGAAGGTCTTACCAAACGTTGTTCCCTACTCTTTACTTTATTTTTTAAAGAACAAACTAGAAACTTAACTGGTTTTTAAACGGGTTAAACCTTGGACGGTCCGGCCAATCAGTCAGTCCTAAAGAGTTGTGGTTGTTGTGACACGTTGGGATCGGGCCGGTCCCTCATCCTGTCCTGGTTCCCACAGATCATGAAGATGGCCGCCCCCCTGCCTGTGGATGGGGGGAGCAGCCCCATGGTGAAGCCCAAGGGAGACAAACAGGTGGAGTACTTGGATTTGGATCTAGAGTCTGGGAAGTCCACCCCACCCCGGAAGGTAGGAGACCCTGCACTCCAAAAAAGAAAAAAACAAAACAGAACAATAGTCTTTTTTTTTTTTTATCTGAGGAGCTTGAATGTTTCTTCTCTGACTTCTTTTGTGTTTTCAGATGAAAAACAATGGCAGCAGCATTTCTGCGTCAGATGAGCGTGTCGACTATGTGGTTGTGGACCAGCAGCGCACACAGGCCCTGAAGAGCACCAGGGAGGCATGGAGCGAAGACCGCCAACTCACAGAGACGGACACTCCCTCCAAAGTCCCCAAATGAGCCTGACCCTGACCACCAGCCCAAACCCAGAGCTGCAGCCCGCCGGGCCTGGAGAGCCAGAGCCCAGGAGAGCGCGGTGTGGAGCTTTAAATTGGGCCCAATGAGTCCGAACTTGAACCAGACTTTGAACTCCAAACATTCGCTGCCCTTAATGAGGATGAAGGCCTGATCCTCTTCATCAGATCCAGAGTTAACATCTCCTTTGGTTCTGACTGTTCTTCACTAGTCCACAACATAGCGGCGCAGGCTAACAGTGTTTTTCTGTAGGGGCAGGGGGTGTTTATTCAACACTATTTTACTTCTTTAACGTTGCGTTCAGTGCCTTGCAAAAGTATTCACACCCAGTAAAAACCAACATCTTCTCATCCTGTGTGGATGTTTGTTTGCGTTTTAATGAGCAGAAACAGAAGCAGCTCCTCCAGAGTTAGCTGCTCTCCTCGCTCAGCCTGTGGGTTCAGGAAGACAAGCTCTCAGCAGCTCTGTTTTCAGCTGATGGACCGATCTTTTCTCATCAAGATGTTCGGTTTCACAGGGAGTCATTTTACACACAGAATCCTTCTGACATGATTTATTCAAGTCTGCTGCTTTATAGCAGGTTCCTGTTCTCCAGATCATGAGATCATGAGACTCCGCCTCTGTACTGTCCTCCTTGGTCGCCCTCATCATGTTTGCCCTCTAATTGTCCTGAATCTGAAACCTTTTGGAGGGAGTTGAACAAAAATGCACTCCACACTTTTCAGATTACCATTTGTTAAAACCCACGATGAGCTTCACATGGATGCATCCACCTAAAGACCCCAACAGCTGTGGAAAGACCTGGACCCGGAGAGTGTCCAGGTCGCTGAATTCAAATGCAGGCGAACAGAACCAAGTGTTAAAGTCGGCTTTAGGTTTCCTGAAGTTTTAATCAATGAATCCCATCAGATCTCCATCAGGTTTGTGGAAGTGAAACCTGGACAGAAGTGTTTGTGTAAATAAACAGGAGACGTTTCCTTTATTTGTATGAATCTGCGCCGTGTTTTGACTGGAAGGTAGACGGATTCTGCAGGGTGGAATTCCTTACCGGCCGATTCATGAATGATGACTGTGACTTTTCTATAAGTTATGCAGAGGGATTGCAGCGGGCTCACCGAGAGAAAATCAGGTACTTTAGTTTGTAGAAATGCACACTAAGACATATTTCCATCTCTAATTTATTTCTGGGTCGTGACCAGTTTTTCACTCAGTATCCTTTGTTAGTTCGACATCTGATGAGAAGCTGAAACTCATTTCTCTCTCTTCTTTCTCCTCGGGGTTTAATTTATTTTGAACTGATCTGACGAACCTCGTCTAGTTGGCTCCTAAACCGTTCTGCCTCCAAAGCATGTCGCCGCCATCAGATCAAAGCATTGCTGTAAATAGTTTTCCATCAGTTGTATTAACACACATCTCCTAAAGTCGCTTTCTTTGGACTTCCCTCTTTCTATGCTGCAGGTTCTTTGTGATGCCGACTGCAGAACTGATGATGTTTTCTAACGAATCTCAAGTGAAATTTTAAATCTGAAAACTGAACTAATAAAATCCAACATTTTCTTCCTGGTTTGGGTTGTTTTTATTTTCAGCAGCAGTCTTGATGAAACCGTTTGATCTCCTTGCCTTCATGTGATTAAATTTAAAGTGTTTTATTTTAAAAATGTGAGAGAGGCGTGCATCTCTGATCCCGGGGTCTGATATGTTCATGAAGTTGGTAAACAAACTTTATTTTCTCATTTTGTAGAATTCCATGTTAAAAAGTAAAGTTGTTTTTACTGTGAAGTAGTTTTTTGTGCTATTAGTCAGGTTTTGTATCTTAGGAAGAAGAAAGTTCTAAACGAAGAGATACTTCAGAGCCACTAAGGACTCATTCATTTCATTAACCAGGGTATTTGTTCTTGTCTCACTCCATTTAGCAGCTGTTGCAGAAAAAAAAAATCTACTTTCTTTTGTCTCTTTACTCTAAGGTTGATTACTGCTTTAACATGTTTAGTTCAACGGAGGGAAACGTCACCATACAGTTGCAGCCATTCAAAATGGCTCTTCCCAGTCAAACCCCAGCTGAACGGCAGCCCACTTCCCTGCAACTCCTAGCAGAGTCCCCCTACAACTTGCAACCACTGGAGTGACCCCCTCCTTCGCCTTGGTTTGCATATTTTTTTACTCTGACTCGACCCTTTCACTGAATTACAGGATCTGACCAGGAGAAGGTGCTTCTCTTTAGATCTTAATGTCCACAAATCATGACAGAATATATTTTTACAAAGATTGATATTTAAAAAGGAATTGTTGGGGACCAGCCAAGGACCCATCAAGGACAGTGGGCAAATTTTGAATGGCTACTTCTAAAAGTCACAAATTGTTATCATGCTGTCCACTGGGTGGAGCTGTTGCATCTGTTTCCTTCTCTCCAGCTTCAGATCTTTAGCCAGTTTTCCTCCTCTGCTTATCTTCCGCGACTCTTTATTTGTTTATTTGGAGGGGGGGTGTCCTACTCCTGCTCAGCTGAAAGAACAAACAAAAAAAAAAGAATAAAAGATAGTTATTTCTTGTTTTGAAATTGGAAGAAAATCTGGATTCATAAATCTGATTACCGGTAATAACAAAGCAAAAACATTTTAATTGAACTACAATTATAAATCCTGAACATGAGAAGAAAAACTGCAGCAGCATAAAGGTAATGGAAAGGCAATACAATGAATAAATGAAAATAAGACAATTATATATGAAAATAAAAAATTTATTGATTACAGAAAATAAAGTTGGACTGAAAAATAATGCGCATATCTCTTTCAAAGGTTTCTCTAGATATGTTCTTAACCTGGATTAAAACAGCTGAGGGGTTCATCTCTTTTCCAGGTTTCTGAGACTTTGTTCCAGATCAGTGGAGCAGAATAACTAAAAACTGCTTCTCCATCTTTGGTTCTTATCCAGTAGAGCTGAGAGGTCTGGCTGTTGATCCACTGCCAACCAGTCTGGAATTTATTTTGGAGCTAAACCATTCAGTGATTTCTAGACTAAAAGATGGATTTTAAAGTCTCTTCTCTGAGATACAGGGCGCCAGATTTAGGACTTTAGAACTGGACTCATGTTCTCCACTTTCTTAGTTCTAGTGAGGACACAGGCAGCAGCATTCTGGATCAGCTGCTGATCCACTTGTAGGCAGACCTGTGAGGACACCGCTGCAGGGATAATTTCTACTGAAGATGAACGAAACAGGAATTTTTTTTCAACATTAATCCTTTATTCCTGGAGATGTTCTTTAGGTGATAGAAGGCCCACCTTCTTCCTGTCTTTATGAGCCTCTGAAGGTTCAGGTCTGAGTGCATCACTACAACCAGATTTAGAGCCTGATTGCTGCTTTCTAGCTGGATTATAAGAAACTGGGTTCTAACATTTAAATGCTCTTACTTTGATCCAAGATCTCCATTCTCTTTTAGTCTCTGTCAGATTAATTGAACTGAGCAGGGGCAGAAGGACCAGAGCTTTGTCTGCATTGATGAAGGCTTCGGTCTGGGGTGAGGGGAGCTTCTGCTCTTCTGGTTCAATCTTATCCGGGGTGATTAGATGTGGATCATAAAAGAAATCTACAGACTGGCTTTGCAGCCAGCAGAGATTAGCTCTTCCATAGGGTGAGTGTGTTAACCCAGACAGATGCCTTCTATCTTCCTAGCTATTTATGAATTTATGCTTTAAATGTTGGTTCAAAAAACTGACATAAATGTTGGAACTTTTATCACAGCCTGGTATTAAAGAGAAAGAAGAGGGAGGGACCAAATGAGTGGAAGAGAGCGTTTAAACTTTAGGATCATTTTCTGTCTCCTTTTTTGCTTCAAAACTGAAGATTAGGGTCTTTGTTTTTTCCCCCTCTTTGATCAAGTTGATGTGTAGCTCCCTCTGCTGGCCAGTTATCATGGATTTGGGGATGACTAGGAGCTTCCAGTAAACCCACCATATGGGCCGACTGCTTTAATAATCTCATATAATTCTGTAAATCTCCCATTCTGGGAACAACGACGTGCCCCCCTCCCATGTCAATCTGTTATTTTATTTTACCAGAAGGCCGAACCCCCCCTCATCGCTCTGCAAACACCTCAATTAAAGCAAATGTCAACCTTACGTTGATATAATTGCTGCTCTGTAGGCAGCAGGACAGAAATCTGACCTCCAGCTCGTTGCTTTGAACAGCCGAAGGTTTCCTTTTTTCAGCTGCATTTATCGCTTTCATTTTAAACTTTTTCCACTTTTATGCCATTATCTGCTTTTACTGGCCAATGCATTGGAATAGAGTGCTGCTAATGTCATCATATGCCCCCCACCTCATCTGACTGTTGTAAATGCAGTTATTTTTACCCCATTCTTGACCACAAGAACCTGACGTGCAGCCCATTCCCCACCGCTTAACATTTTATCTAGATTGCTTCTTGCACTTAAGCGTTCATGATTCATGCATCCAAACTGTGAGGAAGCGTCTCCACGTCAGCCAGTAATGACTGAAACTCCAAGTCATTACTGCGTCCCGTTAGGGGCCTGCAAGCTCCTCTGTTTGTCATGCTTTTAAGCAAATTCAAATGCAGTGTGTTTTGGGAGACGCCTCAATGATTTTTAATCACTGAAAGGCTTCCAGCGATTTATTTACAAAGAATGAGCATCTCATTGGCTCCATGCATGTTTCTCAGGGAGGAGATCTGCAACTCAAGTCCCAGTGAGCCTCCTGATCGTCTTCAAACACGGGAGCAGCTATGTGGCTCTGAGTGCTGCAGGAAGGAAGGAGAACATCTCTGGCTTCCTAACCAGGCCAGCAGAATAATTAGGAGGCAAGCTGAGAGCCTTTTCTAGGGCAGAGGGAAGCAAGTCAGCTTTAATGGGTGGAGCTTTGACATCTGTCTGGACTGATGGAGCATCTTTAAGGTGCTGCATCTCAGGGGGCTTGTAACAGTTATACACGTGTTCAGAGGCATTATGCTGAGGGCCGATAGTGTAGGAGCACCTCAAAGATTAGACAAGAGTGTCCTGACTGCTGTGGCTGTGGTTAGATGTTAAATATTGTGGGGTTTAAAACAGAACTAGGACAATAACAAGGTAGAACTGCAGGTTTATATGATTGATTTCAATTATTACAGAAAACAGCAGAGTGATTATTTAAAAGCTGTAAAATATGTTATAACCTCCAAATGAGACCCATTGCAGGAGGTTTTTATAGCTGACCCTGGATCTTCTGCCTGAACTAACTGGCGTTTGTGATCTGAACCACATCAGGAGCCTGAAGTCATTCAGATCAGGTGTCTGTAAACGGTCATCATCGACATGCTGACAAAGTCTGTTTGGACTTTTAGTCCTTCTGATTCAGTCACATGTTAACTAAAGTAGGAGAAGTTTAATGAAAAACAACCTATCTAATCCTCACTAAACCATCAGACACTAAGCATCAATCAACTGTCTATATGAAGGCAATGTTTATACAAAAGCAGACAATTTCTGATCCCTTCTGATCATAAATGCTTTCTTTCGAACATGCTGCTACTATACTGTTATGTAATTTAAACACAACTTGCAAAGTAAAATAGTTCACCAAATTTTGAAATGTCATTAATTTTGAATTGAAAAAGTAAAGATTTTTTTAGAATAAAGAAAATAAAATCTGCTCAGATTCTGTATTTAGCTGATTTTTTTGCCACTTGCTGACAAAAAGTATGCAAGCACTGCCATTGCAATTTATTTGAATATTTTAAAATGGTCCATTTTGGAAACCAGAGCAGCTTTATGAAAAAGTTGTTTTTTTAAAAGGGTTGTGGTGAAAGTTTATTATGAATTCTTAGGGTGGATAATCATAGTAACACATTAATAATTGATATTGGAGGAAAATATTTCTTAGCACTTTAAGGCTAAAGTTTAAAAGTGTATTTTTTTCTCTAAAGGACTTATATGGAGCAGCTGAATAAAAAGGCTCAACAGCAGCAAACCAGTCCTGATGTTGGGAACCTTCACTGATTACAAACTGGTATTCAGTCTCCTGAGAGCCGTTTGAAATGAGTGCAGCCAATCAGACGCCTGTCATCACAGTCCACTTCCTGGCAGGCCTGCATCATCTCTAACCACACCTGCCTGATCTTCCCATCTCTGCAGCTGCTTGTTAAATAGTTCTGGTGCTCCGCCATTTATCTGCAGCCTCTCTTTGTCTTGTTACCTCCAGCTCCCTTTGCTCTGCCCTTGTTTCAGACCTCTAATTATATTACCTCCCCCAACATAACGTCAATGCTCTGAGCCCAGGTACATAATTCTTGTTTCTTTGGGCGTGTTTCAGACAGAAATCAATGTTTACTCTCTGCCCAGCTCCTCCATCTGCTGTCCAGCACTGTTTAGATTACTGGACCTGGATGAGCCTGAGAAAAACATGCAGTTCAACAAGTCAAGAGCTGCAGGAAAATCTTAACTCTGATTCTCACCGGACAGCAGCTTGTTCACATTAAAGGGCCTTTATCATACTATTATGATGCCCCTCCTCCATCCAAATCATTCCCAAAGTGCACTAACCAGTTACAACACACCCACTTTCTCCAATCAGTG